AGTAAGTACTTGATTGGTTTCTGACATTTTCCTTGTGGGCGTAGTTTTTGCAAACTTAGGTAGTTCGTTAGTTGTAGTTCGTTACGTTCTGACATTTTGTTTTCTTTCAAACGGAACCATAGATTTTATTAGTTCGTAGGTTTTCTTTTAAAATCCTGATGATTAATTCCTCAAAGCATGGGAATTTTTATCTTGTCATGCACTTTAGGCACTCTTACGCGATACATTTCGCTGGGTTCTTGAGGCGCAATGCTCTTCGGGCGACCTCACGTCGGACCACATCGCAGGACCATGTCGCACAACCAAGTCGCACGACCACGTCGCACGACCACGTTGCACGACTACGTTGTACGACCACATCTCATATCCTCATCGCACGACGAAGCGTAATGTGCCATGAGAGCGCCTGTTCTTGTTTAAACAAACTTCATATATACCGTTAAATTCATTGTAAAAAAATTAATGTTTCTAACGAAGTATGGAATCACTCAACCAACAAATTCTATTGTGTTACTTTGGAGAAAAAAAGAGTTTCAAAACGTATGCCCGGAGCAAAAACTGTGTAAACCAATCAAGTACTTAATTGTATACGCCCGTATGTCATCTATCTAAAGTCAAAAATCGTATTTCGGCATCTAAAACAATATAGAAATAGGTTACGGATACTTATTGAATCACTCCTTCATGAGGATATTCTTAGGGACGACCTGTTAAGCAGCAAATGACATCAGAAATCTGAATCGAAATGTTTTTACCAAAAAAAATGTCTCACCCCCAAACTCCACATGACAGCCATGCTTATGAGAATAAGAAATAATTAATAACAAACTAACTAACCGGAGGGTAGTTATGCAAAACGTGGAATTCGACTTGAAAAAACACGAAGACAAAACCAAATTATGATGATTAACAAGAAGTGCACCAAATATTCAACAACGCGTTGGCATTTCCTTGCGTTAGTATTACGATAGCATTATTCAGTATTATAATCCACGATTCAACAAACACCGCTGCAAGTCGCGTCGTCACACGTCACCGGTAAGGCAGAAGAGACGCTTGCACTGCGCGAGCCTCGAAGGAAACACGAGGAGGAGGCACTCGTCCGCATTATACGGTCGGGCGCAGTGGCCGGCGTCGGGGCGGGGCGGGGCGGGGCGAGGCGAGGCGAGGCGGCGAAGGTCTGCAGTGGCGCAGATAAGAGCGGGCGTTAAATAGCGGGCGAGCGCGGGGGCGGGCGCCATCGACTGCGACAGGCGGAGGCGGAGCAGCTACAGCACAAGGCGGAGGCGGCGACTGGTCGCGACCGGGCTCATTGGGCGGTGAAGCTCTTTGCGGACAAGACGTGAGTCTCCCGGCCATTGGGCACGCGCCCTGCAGGCAGACGCTGCCGGAAGCTGGAACATACACTAGTATACGGACACGAGGCTGAAAATTACTTACTAGTTCGTGGCGCCCTCCATCGGTTATGCTGGAATTCTATACGGTGTTGTCCGCCCTTAAGGCTCATTCATAATGCAAACGTAATAAGCATAACGCATTAAACGTAACATTAACATAAGTGATAAACAGAAGTATTCACAATGTCTGACATAAACGTAAGCAAAATAAGAGTTTCTATTGGTTGTGAGACATTCTAAACTACTATTGGTTGGATCTGAGAATCGATTTCGATGTATCAACTGTGTTCAAGGCCCATGTGGCGTTAGTTAGACTATCGACTTCGCTCATATTTCGATTCTCGATTTCGAGTTAACGTATTGAGATTGGTTTATTTCTTATGTCTTACTTAAGCATAAGCACGGAAGCTTTAAGCTTGCAAGTTATTAAGTTAACGTGTGTTACGTGTTATGCTTATCCGAAGGCATTGGGAATGAATCCACATATGGACTAACTTTTATGTTAACGCCATGCTTATGTTTGCATTGTGAATGGGCCTTTAGCCTTGATGACAGCTTCCACTCTCGCAGGCATACTTTCAATCAGGTGCTGGAAGGTTTCTTGGGGAATGACAGCACATTCTTGACGGAGTGCTGCGCTGAGGAGAGGTATCGATATAGGTCGGTGAGGCTTGATCCGAAGTCGGCGTTCCAAAACATCCCAAGGGTTTTCGATAGGATTCAAGCCGTGACTCTGTGCAGGTCGGTCCATTACAGGGATGTTATTGTCGTGTAAACACTTCGCCACAGGCCGTGTAGTTTGACCAGGTGTTCGATCGTGTTGAAAGATGCAATCGTCATCCCGAATTGCTCTTCAACAGTGGGAAACAAGAAGGTGTTTAAAGCATTAACGTAGTCCTGTGCCGTGATAGTGCCACACAAAACTACAAGAGGTGCAATCCCTCTCTATAAAAACACTACGACAACATAATACCATTTTGGAAGTTTCCAGATACTTTTGATCACATAGTGTAGGACGTCTTTTCAAAATCATTGAAGATGGTGCAAAGGATTGTGGCAATTCGGGGTCCTTTGGAAACTACTAATGAGTTTCTCGGTCTAAAATGCTGGGGATAATATCAAGCACCGGAGTTAATTCTTATTGTTAGTAACTTCATCTCTTGAAAAATGTGGAATTAATTCATAAGATTCGAACGTGTGGAAAGATACTGAATGTCGAACATGTATAATTGTCACATTATAATCGTATTACGGGATCAGTCTGGATTCTATAAAGCAGCTACTTCTATAAAAGTTTCAATCTAGATTGTTAGAGAGGAAACTTTTTCTATTGACATTATTACGGTCACGTGATCGAAGACTTTTCCAGGAGTTGACACCAAAGCAGATCACATCTGCCGGAATGAAATTATCAGAAGTATTTGAAATCAGAATAGGAATGTGTTGTCGAGATTTCTAAGTACTATGCACTTTTATTATTCTGTTTACTGTCACGCTCACCTTGAGAAATAAATAGATTAGATAGAAATTCAGTTGCGTTATCGACTGAAGGTGGTACTTCCTGGCAGCGGAAAAAGCTACAAAGAAGAAGTATTTTAGCCACTCGGGAGAGCGCTGACGCAACTTCTCATGTAATCGCCCGATAATTCACATGCCAGATGTTTTTTTGATTACAATGTTGTCCATGAACCACTAATGTGTCTATTTATGTCAGAGACGAAAGAAAAAATGTATTTGGAATTGTTCGGTGACAGCTCTGAAGATCGAATTTGAACTCTCATTTTAATCACAGTTCTCGAAACCACACGTTTGAAGACGTACAAGTCTCAAGGGTAAAGGGGGTACGTGTGGTTAGCACGTAGAAATCTCCTCGCCGTATTCCTGTTTTCTCAACCTAAGAAGTGAATTTTCCCGTCGTCACACAGCAACAATTACTGGGTCATTTCAAGGAAAACGCTCACTATAATCTTGCCTCGCCGGGAATCGAACCTGGGGCCGCGTAGTGGACAGCGAGCACGTTGACAAAGAGTCAGCTACGATCTGTCACATGTTCTCTTACGGACAGAATTATCAGAGGGAAATATTAAATGACAAACCGAGTCAAGTTAAGAACTAGTTTACTAATAAATAAGTAAATACACATCTTTAAAATTATGAAAAACATAAAATAACGTGTGTACCACAAGCGTTAACTGGTTCTATTGATCGAACGGCGACAAAAAACCTTTGGGCCAAAGGCCCTCAGGCATTTTGTCGCCGCTAGATCATTCGAACCCTTATAACGCCCTTGTTGCATAAATAACAACTTTTGCATTCCAGCATTATAAAAGAACCTTTTCTGTTGCAAGAAATCGTTCATAATCGGGCATTTTACGGCACAATTGACGTATTAGATTTTGTCTCGAATGACGCGTCATCACACATTCAGTCAATCGCAGTAGAAGAATCATCGGGAGGTAGATGTAAACGGAACAGCCGACCATAGTTATTTTGCGCAGATGTCAAATACTCAAGACATCACAAGAAAGTTGTTTCGCAAAATTAAGTTTGATTATCTTATTAATGTATAATGCTGTTATACAAAAAAATGGCGTATGCAACTCGTTTATGTTCCTTTATTGCATTCATAAATATTTGAAAACTCGCTCGTTTTCAAAACATGTACTCATGCAATAAAGCTTAACATTTTATACTAATTTTCTTATATGCCTTAAAAACAATAAACACATATAAGTACATATTTTTCTTTTTTATTACAATGAATTGCTTTCCCTAATAATGGGGCCTACGAGATGGCATCGCTTGCCACGGATTGCCGACCCCTGCTTTAAGTCATGGTTAGTTCGATGCACAGACATCATTAAGGCTCAAAAGTTAATGCTGTATCTGCAGGAAAAATATGCTTGCAAATTTGCTCTATTATTTGTAAAACATGCCACCGAAATACTGAAATATACTCTAACAATTGTCAGTTTTATGTATTCATGAAGAATTACAAACCTGTAAACAAATGTATGTTAACTTTGTTGAAGCAGTTTGAGAGCAGATAAAACTTATTTTGATAGAATGACACAGAAATAGAGGAACATGAAAAGAAAATAACCATAATAATTTAAAAATAAACCTAAAATTTCATAAAATTTCCTTCATTCAAGAGCTGAAAGAAACTACAAATATGCGTAGGTTAACCATAGTGAAACTGTATTTGATGTGTACCAGCAGTCTTTTTGCGAGATAAAGATCGCTCCATGGCGCAAGATATGATGGGGCTTAACTTGAAATATTTTACATCTTCGGGTGACAAATCCTGTTCTATATCTCTCAATTTTGCATTTTTGTTTCTATTTAGTATACCAGCAATAATTTTTAACGTAAAATATAATAATTTCGTCTGTATCATCGTCGAAGTATCAATTCCAATGCTACAAATCCTTTATTTGTCCGATTATCAGTCTTAATCGGACAAATTGTTTCCGTACACTAGCGCCGTAATATCATTACATTTTTTATTAGAACTGCAATTGGGTATGACCAGGTGGCAGTTAATTGCATCAACTACTATTTTATTTGTTTCTCCTCCAAAGCGACGTGGTGCGTGCTGCGATGCGGTGTCTGGCGCTGGCGCTGGTGGCGTGGGCGGCGTTGTCGGCGGCGCGGGCGGCGCCGAGGGCGGCGCCACCTCCGAGGGCGGCGGTGGAGGGCGAGGTGGAGGGCGAGGGCTACGAGACGGTGGTGGTGGACGTGGTGGGCGCGGGGCCCGTGCGAGGCTTTACGCGCCCCACCAACCGCAGCGTGCGCTCCGTGCACAGCTTCCTCGGCCTGCGCTTCGTGGAGAAGCCGCCCCGCTTCGAGGTGAGCCCCCCTCCCTCCCACCTACCCACCTCACCGTCACGGCTGCATCTCGCGGCGCTTAATACAGTAGAAGCTCGCTAATCCGAACCCGCGATCTGAAATTGCGGATAATCCGAACAAAATTAGTAAAGGAGGAAAAATAAAGAAAATTCTTATTTGTAGTGTAAAGAAAGAATTTTATAATTACTGTAGGACAATTAATTATTGAAACCCAAGTTGTCTAAATAAAACGTGGTGCCTGTGATTAAAGTATATCTGAAATTTCTAATAATCCGAACAAAATTCGTAAAGGAAAAAAAATAAAGAAAATTCTTATTTGCAAATAAGAATACAATAATACAATAAATAAACTTCTTATGTGTAGTGTAGAGAAAGGATTTCAGAATTACTGTAGAACAACTAATTATTGAAACCCAAGTTGTCGAAATAAAACTTGGTGCGTGTGATTGTAATAAATCTGAAATTTCGGTTAATCCGAGCATAATGCGTTATGAAGGAAAAATAAACTAAAAAAAACAAAATTCTTATTTGTAGTCTAAGGGAAGGATTTTATAATTACTGTACAACAATTAATTATTGAAACCCAAGTTGTCGAAATGAAACTTTTTTTGCGCTAATAACTACGGTCTACTTCGCATGTTTACATAGCAATAATTTTCACTTTGAGGAACTTAAAAAATCAGTAATCTTTTGCCGTTATGAACTGAATTTGCTTGATGAAGTGATATGATGATGCGATCACTACGCTACGTAGTCATTTTCTCACGCTACCTTGCATTGTCAGGTAATTCAATAGATTTACTAGAACATGTACGTTACATTTGTTCAGATAATCCGAACATTTCCGAATCCGAACAGACCACATCCTCAATTAGTTCGGATTACCGGGGTTCTACTGTACTCAGTTTTGCACCTATAAACGCCCGGAATTATGTAGGAGGTTGATGATAAACTAGATAGACAAATATTTCAAAGTGAGTTAGCGAACATTTTTCTCTTAGTTCATTGTTAAGTTGATTAACATACAACAGGCTAAGCATGCAAGAAATTGTAACCGCACATTTCCGAGATTGGACTCATGAATGAATTGGACGGTCTTATTGAGAAAGATACCAACTCTGTTGAATGTGTGTAGAGAATACGATATATCTTGCTTGCTTTCCTTTACCCTAGGATGCATATGCAAGGCCCTTACGTTTTTTATATTGCTTTTTACTTTGCACTGCTACCCTCTTTTTTTTCTGCAGAGCTTGCCGTCCCCGAAATCTTTCTCCTATTTTTATTCTTTTATTTTATTTACTGGTTGAGAAAAATTATCAGAAGTTATATAGGTAGGCCTTGAAATTTTATTTCATTACGTCAATGCTTGCTCAGGGCTTCTAAGGCCCTATTAAGAGTTATTTAAATAAATAATAATTTGTTTAACATTAATAATTTACTTTCATTGGAATTATTAAGAAGTGAAAGCATTAAGAATAAAAAACAATTATATGTGTATATTTCGAGAGACGTGCATATTTCGAGAATTTCAGAGGCGCTGAATATGTTTTCACGTAGTTTACCAGGTCCAAGCATCCTAGGATTAACAAAAGATAGCAATAGTTGCCAAATGAGAGGGTTGGTTCTTTTCTACATTATGAGAAAACCATGACCAGAGAAACGACATAACCTACAACCGACATTTTTAAATGCCGCCATTAAATGTCACAAAATTTAATGCCGCCAAAATACGCCATTAAAAATAAAAAATTTACGTGCATATTTCCAGAGCGTCAGAGACGCTGAATTCACGTAGTTTACGAGGTCCAAGCATCCTAGGATTAATTAAAGATGGCAAAATTTTCTAAATGAGAGGGTTGTTTCTTTTCTACATTGCGAGAAAACCACGGCCAGAGAAACGACATAACCTACAACCACCATTTTTAAACCGCTATTTTTAAACCATTTTTAAATGCCGTCATTAAATGCCGCAAAAAACCGCCATTAAAAATAAAGAACAATTTTTACGTGCATATTTCGAGACGGCAGAGCTTTAGAAGTGCTGAATAGCTGCGAAATGAGAGGGTTGGTTCTTTTCTACATCGTGAGAAAACAATGGCCAGAGAATCGAATCGCCATTTTCAAACCGCCTTTCCGCGTAAAGGCGAGTGGCGAGCGCGCGCTGATTCGGTGGTGCGCGGCGTGTGTGCAGCCGCCGTCCAAGTTCGCGCGCTGGGACGACGAGCACGACGGCCGGATCCGCGCGCGCGCCTGCCCGCAAGGCAAGTTCTACCCGGACGAGCTGGAGCGGCGCGAGGCGGAGCTGGGAGGCGCCGCCTCGTGGGACTGGGCGCGCGCCGCCCCCGCGCCTTACAATGACGACGTGCCCGACGAGGAGAAGGAGGACTGCCTCACGCTCGACGTGTACACGCCCGACGACGCCATCCTCAACGGCACGCAGGTACTCGATCTTCACATTGCAATAGAACACTGACTATGTATGGTGGTAATTCATGTGTGGGACATCAGGTTTTTGAAAACTTTAGTATTAATATAAACCTTTAGCATTAATGTTTGCGAGGGGGATCAAATTTGAATGTTGCTTGGTTTAGCGATGAGGATGGCGTAAGATGGCGTAAGACGCCATCCTCAATCGCACGCAAGTACTCGCCCGGAAACGATCCTATTCAAATTACAACAGAACACTGACAGTATATGGTAGTAATTCATGTGTGTGACTTCAGGTTTTCGAAAACTTTAGTATTAATGTATACCTTTAGTATTAAAATTTGCGAGGGGGGTCGAATTTGAATGTGGCTTGGTTTAGCGATTTATAATTCAAAGATTTAGCTGCCAAAGCAATAAAAAATAATACAAATTAACAATAATGTTATCATGTATATCTAATACAAAAGTAATAGAGTGCATTATTGACGAAAACTATTATTTTCCGAAAGAAAGTAAAAAGTACTATGTTCTTTTGAAGGTAGGCTGAGGGTTTAGTACAGGCATTTTCTAAAAGAAGCCGCGGAAATATTCGTATGAAATAAATTCAGGGAAAAAGAATTTATTTATTTCATTCTTCTTAACTACGAACCTAAAGAATACGCATTGGTCCAATCCAAACCAACCATCACCGTTCAGCGGTAAGGAGAAGATAGCGTTGCAAGAAAGGAGAAGAAATATTTGCAATATTTTGAATACTTTAGACAATATTCTTATAAATGTTAGTATTTTTAAGAACAAAACAAATTACAATAAACAAAAATTTACATTTTAAAATCTAGTGATAATTTTAATATGACTTCGTTAAAATAATTATAAATAATTAATATATTCACATATAAAACTTCAAGACTGTAAATTAAATAGTTTATGAGAATGAAATAATTATATGAGTCGTCATTGCCAACAATATTGTTTATTTCAATAGCAGCTTTCGATGGCTTAGCCATCATCATCAGTGGCTGATGATGATGGCTAACTTATCGAAAGCTGCTATTGTAATAAACAATATTGTTGACAAATTATTTCCTTGTAAATGCCAACGAAATTCGCCACAATACCAATAACAAGTTTCCGAGAAAATGTTGCTAACATTAACATTGGCAACGTAGGCCGCTCCGGCGCCCCCTAAAATCAAGGACGTTGCACGCAGGGCCAGAGCGGGCTGCTGCCGGTGCTGCTGTTCTTCCACGGCGGCGCCTTCGTGCGCGGGTCCTCGTGGAACGTGAAGCCGGACTTCATCCTGGACCACGAGGGCGCCGACGGCCGCTTCGTGCTGGTGGCTGCGCAGTACCGCCTGGGCCCGCTGGGCTTCCTGGCGGGCGGCGGCAACACGACGGCGGGCCGCGGCAACGCGGGCCTGCACGACCAGTACTGGGCGCTGAACTGGACGCGCACCTTCGTGCACAACTTCGGCGGCGACCGCAACAACATCGTCATCGGCGGCGTGAGCGCCGGCGGCGCCACCTCCGGCCTGCTCTACGTCTCGCCCAAGACCAACGGTGAGCGCCACTTCCCCTTCACCGTCCCCTCGCACGATGTGCAGGCACGTTAAGGGCGCCTTCCCACGTCGCCGCGGCAATGCGCGTTTGTCAATCGGCAGGGCTCTTCGCCGACCCTCCGGCGACGTGGAACAAAGGGACTGCAGCAGGTAAAACGCAGCGGCCGGCGGTCGCAGTGGGAAGGCTACCATTTAAAGCTGTGTTTTGCTAGCGGTGGCGAGTACCCCTTCCTCCGCTTCGCGTAGCGAGATTCTTGGCAGAAGCGCGCTGCCGTCGCGCCTCTCATGGCGCCTTACCACATCGCGGCGGCGGCGCGTTTCCGAGCGCCGCGGCTCATAGTAGAGCATCGGTTTCAATGGAGACCTTCCCACGTGCGGCGGGTTTACGCCGTTGGGGCAAACGACGACAGACTCTCGCTACTCGAAGCGGAGGAGGGCGTACGCGTCACCGCTAGCAGAACTCAGCTTTAAATGATAGCCTTCCCACTGCGCCACGGCGGCAGCGGAGAGCTGCTGTTTATACCTGCTGCGGTTCCTTTGTTCGTCGTAGCCGGAGGGTCGGTGAAGAGCCCTGCCGCTTGACGGACGCGTGCTGCCGTGGCGGCGTGGGAAGGCGCCCTAAGGGTGCCTTCACGCGTCGTCAGCAGCCGAACGTTTGCGATACGCCGCTACTGCTGCAGCTGTGACCGGAGCGTCGTCCGCCGTAGACGGGGGTGGGTTCTGTAGGGGTAGTTTTCGCCGACCCTCCGGCGACGACGAACAAAGGGCCGCAGCAGGTAAAACGCCGCGACCGTTGGCGCAGAGGGAATGCAATCATTGGCTGCCTTCACACAGAGCCACTTGGTGGCGCCACCGAGAAACGGCAGAGCCCTTCAAACTGAGCCACTCCCGACCGTCGCTGACCGCGAGAGGGGAAGGTTTCGTGAGTCACACCGCTGTAGGATCAGGCGGCCAAAAGGCAAACCAGGAAGAAATTGGTTCAGTGGCGCTTAAGGTGTGAAGGCTGCCATTTCGACCTGTGTTCCGCTGGCGGTGGCGTGAACGCGCGTACCCTGCTGTTAGCGGAAGTTCGCCACCGAGTGCCAAAGCAGCACGGTTCCCTCATGTGAATGTATATTTTCGCTCAAAAATGTGATCCTGGCGAATCGTGGCAATCTTAACACAATCATTTTTTTTTCGCTACATATTTTTTTCGAATTTGGAATACATTTTACAAAACTACTGTCGCAAATTTGGAATACATTTTACAAAGCTGCTGTCGCAACGTAGCAGAGCATTAGTTTGAATGGAGACCACCTGCGGCGGTTTGCGCCACTGCCGCAAGCGGCGGAGAACTCTCGCTACGCGAAACGGAGGAGGGCGTTCGCGCCACCGCTGGCAAAACACAGCTTTAAATGGTAGCCTTCCAACTGCGGCGCCAATCGCGGCGTTTTACCTCCTGCAGTCCCTTTGCTGGACGTCGCCGGAGTGTTAGCGAAACCTGCCCCTGCAAAACCCACTCCCTTCCACGGCGGGCGGCGGTGCGGCCGTGGCTGCAGCGGTGGCGGAGTCGGAAGGGCTCGGCTGCTTGACGAAAGCGCGCCGCCGTCGCGACGTCGCCACAGCGGCGCTTCCGATTAGCGGCAAGGCTCTTCCCACGCCGCCCCCGCTGCACGCCACGTCCGCAGCGGTGGCGGAGTCGGAAGGGTCGGCTGCGTGACGGAGTGGCGCCACCGAGAAACGGCAGAGCCACTCCCGACCGCCGCTGACCGCGAGAGGGGAAGGTTTCGTGAGTCACGCCGCTGTAGGATCAGGCGGCCGAAAGGCACACCAGGAAGAAATTGGTTCAGTAGCGCTTAAGGTGTGAAGGCTGCCATTTCGACCTGTGTTCCGCTGGCGGTGGCGTGAACGCGCGTACCCTGCTGTTAGCGGAAGTTCGCCACCGAGTGCCAAAGCAGCACGGTTCCCTCATGTGAATGCCTCCTGTATATTTTTGCTTAAAAGTGTGATCCTGGCGAATCGTGGCAATGTCAACACAATATCAATTTTTTTCGCTACATATTTTTTTCGAATTTGGAATATATTTTACAAAACTACATTTTTCTACCAATTTTCTTAGTTAGTGAAAACGCACCAGTGGCGTTGTTTTTCTTGATATTGAATCCGAATTTCCAGCGAAATTCCAGCCTTGTCACCGACATGTAACACAACAAAGACAATAGTCCAGTGATTTTTGCCGACCTTTGAGTTCCCACATTTACACGCTGGCCATTATTGCTCCCAAAGATTAAAATGACGTCTTAAAAAAGTTATTTCAGTATGCCAAGCAATATTTATTTTAAAAAGTCGTTCAAAAATATTTTATTTATCTAATTTTAAGTTGTGCAAATTTATTTTGTTGCAAATGTTCTATAAATTTGATAGTACGTTTTATATCCCTTTTTGCATATTTGTTACAAATTCTTATCGTTTTTATTACACATTTACGTTCATTTACGTTAGCGTAGGCTTCCGGAGTCAGTATTTAATTGGCTGTCCGTGTGGCTGGAGGTAGCTGGTTGGGGAAAACCCTTCTAGCCGGTCGATGCCGAATTTCAGCATCCAGAAGGGTAAGATCACCACCACTTCTCGAGGAAGAAACATACCCTACACTTACGGGAATAACTAAATTCTCCGTTGGCGAACCCGGAAACGCGAAATGATCCGTTAATCAGTCGTGGCCGCGTGTTGCAGGGATGATGAAGGGCGCGCTGCTGTTCAGCGGGTGCTCGGTGTCGCCGTGGACGGTGGACCGCGAGCCGCGCCGCAGCGCAAGGGGCGTTGCCAAGCACGCGGGCTGCGAGGCAGCAGCCAAGCTAGCGGCGGCGGCGGAGGCGGCGGAGGCCGCGGGCGAGGGCTCGCGCGAGGACACCGTCCTCGCGGAGAACGACCTCGTCGACTGCCTGACGGCCGCGCCCGTCGAGGACCTGCTCGACGCCGTTTGGTACTGGGCGGTGAGTTGGGCTCTCGCTTTTTTGGGTGGGCAGCCAGAGGACGCATTTAACGTTGAAAAGTGTGGATGATGTTCCGAGAGAAGCGAAATCCGTGCTCGATTTCTTCGGTTTCCGAAACCTTATCCCAACACGTAAATTATATTAAGTTGAATTATGAATACAGGAAGCGACGAGTGGTTTTGACAAGAACTGATAAGAACATATTCGCTCCCGAGTAATAGAAATCATTTGCAAAGGCAAATGTGCTACTTATTTTGGCTGATGTGCCTCATCGTGCCCTACGTGTTGGAAACGGCTTACAATCGCAAAAAACCAGAAAGGTGTGTTTGAATTATTCCCCACTTATATAAAAAATACGGGCACAAATAGCTAAAATATTTACGTTCAGGCGCTATCTCAGTATTTGCTTAAAGGAGCAGGAATTCCAGACTAAAAACCTAATCGTGGTGCAGGTTATTGACATGGAAGCTGAGGTTCAATATTGGCTTAATATCCGTACAATATAGTGGTAACCAATATCTTGAAGTACTTAAAAAATTGAAGTGCTTTTTCACTCTGTATTATTTTGGTATTGAATGTGGTTAAAGAAGTAACAGCTCTAAACACGGTCATTTCATTTACTGCACGTTTCCTTGCTGAAAATATTTCCTCCACATGCCTCAAACAACGTTTCTTCTGCGTGGGAACAACTTCAGGAAACAACGTTCTCGTGCGGTTGGGTACTAGACGTCGCTGTTGATGATAATTGATATTGTTTCTTACTTGAAAATACACTTCAAATTAATATCCAAAGGTATCCGAACCTGAATTTGCCTATATTAATGACAATTCTCCTTTTTCCGTCACCTGTCAGGAGAGCAGCCGGTAATTTATAGTTTGTCGCGGCTGGGGTAGTATTCCACCGGGGAAGATCCCTGGAAGGAAAAACCTTCACGTCGATGAGTATGTATAATGATGTAGAGAATGGATTTGTATAGAAGCACTGTATTTTCGGGGCTGAGGTTACTTTTACGGGTTAAATTGGGGCGAAGTTGATGAAATTTATGATTGGGTTGCTTCACTTTGGTTTCTATATGATCTTTCTAGGTTAGTTTTGTGTTTATACAGAGACCAGGTATTTGACTGATGAACTGAATGGAGACCAAGGAATTGGAGAGTTGTTTTGCAGGAGTTGATGAGGATGGTAAGGGTGTCAGTGAGTGAAAATTTTTGCGAGCAATTTTGAGGTATTGAGCATGATTCTCCATTTGGTAGTCCATTGTTCGATTTGGTGCAGGTGTTTCTTAAGTCGGTCAGTCAATGTGTATAATTCGGGACCTGAAAGAAATAAGAAAGTGTCGTCTGCAAATCGGGCTGTGTTAATGAATCGAGATGTGGTTATGTGAAAATATTGGTGAAATCATTGAAAAAAGTTGGGGAAAGAGGGGAGCCTTGAGGAATACCTGCTATAATAGGATGAGGGTTAGAAAGATGTGACTGGATTTTTACTGATAATGAACGATCTGACAAAATACTTTGGAGGACCATTTAAAGGAGGTAGAGTTTGAGCTTTCATAACATATAGATTAGGACATTATGCCAAATTTGGGTGAATGCTTGGCTCACGTCAAGAAAAGCTGCTAAGGTATGATGCCCTTTTTGAAATTCAAAATGAATGAATTCTGTTAATCTGAGCGGTTGATGGCAGGAAGTATGTTTAGGAACAAAACCAAATTGTTCATGAAGTATGGTCTTCCTTAGAAATGAATTGAGCCTTTTCAGAATGGCTTTTTCTGCTGTTTCGGCGAGAATATGGAGAAGGCTTATGTGGCGGTCTGCGGTGTTGCAGCGCGAGGAGAAGAAGGAGGCTCGCGTGGGCATGGGGGGCACCATCCCGGTGATCGACGGCGAGGACGGCATGCTGCCGCGAATGCCCGTCGACATCCTCACCGACCGCGAAGACAAATCCTTCACCCCCAAGCCCATCATGGTGGGCATCACGCGCGAGGAGGGGCTCTACCTCTACGTGCGTGAGTATCCTCCGAGGAATCAAGCGCGTTGCGTTTGTTGTGTTAAGCCCACGATGACTTAGAATAAATGTTACAAACCTCTACGGCTTGGAGGTCGAAGATGATCACATTTTGCCGATAAAAAAACGGATTGAAAATATAAAGTGAAGGTAGACATAAGCAATGTTGTGCATTGCGCCTTTTGCACTTGAAGGTATACGTCCTGACGCTGACAAAAACATCGCGTGTACCTGCCAACACCAGTGCGTAATAAATTTCCTACGACTATGGAGAAAATTTGCATATGTGTATCTTCGCTTTATGAGAGTTACCGCAACATGTACATAGGCATATAAAAATCATCCTCGGCTTCCTAGACATGCCCTAGACGTTTGTAACACTGCGTCACAATGTAACAACTTTGTAACAATGTGTCATTCTGTTTACATTTTTAACGCTCTTAAAAATATTACTGTTGAACATTTTATATAGCTCTCTACACTTTTTGATATTTTATATGCATTTTCTATTGAATGTTTAAAATAATATAGTTAAAATAATATAGTTATGGTTACTGAGAGCCTCTCTCTTAACTTTATATATATTTTCTCTGAACTTTTCTTTTACTTATTTCTGGTTGCTTTTCAACTTGTAAAGTCATATAGTAAGTCTCACTGTAGGTAACATTGGTGTAACAGTAACGATATTCAGATACACACAATCATTCACACCCCCGGCAAGATTCACACCCGCGACCCTTCAGGCACGAGGTAACTATGGCCTTAGCGACCTCGGCTATCGAGGCCGGCCCTCCGAACGTTACCTCCTAACCACGCGAACGCGTCGGCGCCGTTGCAGAGATCTACGCCTTCTACCTGGAGGAGAACAAGCTGCTCAACGACAAGCGCCACCTGTCGGAGGAGATCGGCGAGGTGATCCTCAACTTCGCGGGGGTGGAGGACGAGCTGCGCGTGCTGGGCTACAACGTGCAGGAGCTTTACTTCCACGACGGGCAGCTCGGCAACATCTCTTTGATGGGCGACGGCATCATCGACGTGAGTGCCTCCGCACGGCGCCTGCTCGTGTCTTCGAATAAATGTCACTTCCGCGGGCGGCGTGGAAGGGGGTCGGGGACGATCGCTTTCCTCCAAAGAGAGTGTGGTGGAAAATATAACGAAATGTTGTCTTTAAATGTTCCCTTTCATTTCCCTGTGTTAAATTTCTCCACTTTCGTCAACTGATGTTTAGGCACAGATGTAGAGCTCTCTGTATTTTCGAAAATTGCCAAATGTTAACATTTTAAAACTACAAAACAAAAATCAAGCATTTTTTGTTTAAAATTTGTTATAAACATCACGTTTTTAAAAAGGTCATGAACATTTTTTTTAAAACGAGTATTTTTGCGTTATTACTCCTCGAAATTAATGCAATTTATAAAATATTCTCTAATTTTTTCCACTGATAAAACAAGGAACGTTTAAAAGAGTGGTGTAGATCTGATTTTCGTAGAACTCGCTCAATTTTAGCAATAAAGCGAAAAAGAATGTGCCGTTATTGCACCACTAGTTTCTAAGTATAATAAGGTGTTCAGAAGAAATCTAGAATAATCAATCACGAAGGGATAGCATTTGCAGGATAAGTAATCATCTGGCAAGTGGACCGTGCTCACTGCTCTTCGCTTGGCTTGATCCCACTTATTAGGAACTCGAGAGCTTGCGGCCACTTGGCAAACGCTACCGTATCAGGCCGGAGAGGCTTAGTCAGCTGCACTGGAGCAGACTTCTGATAGACGATAGTTATCTTAGTTGGTACACAGTTACTGATTACGTCAACGATAACCCTTTCCGGAGGTGTATTACAAATAACTGCATTGAAGATTTTATCTCGGAATTGTAATCTTTCACAATTTCTTTTCGTCTCTGGAGTCTCAGAGAGATAGAATATTACTTCACCATGATGTATTTACGTAAGAAATCATATTAATTTATCGTGTTTCTAAAAGATCTTAAGGTAATTAGACGGAAAATCTAGGAATCATAATTAGTTTCTGCATTACAGTGTGAATTACAAGTGACAATTATTATGAAAAGACTGGAATAACCGCATATGTAAGCAAACCAAGAAATCAAATTTAGGAAAATCAGAAAGCAAATTTTGAAAATCTAAAAGAAACTAGAGGTGCTACAACAGCACATACTTTATCGCAATATTTCTAACATTTGCAAATTTCTATAAATGCACAGAGTGCAACCAAAATGAAACACGCGGCATTCTTTTGACCGTGCCACGTTCTATCCGAAAAAATTAATAAAAAATGTCCTCGATATTGAGTTTTTTAAAAATAATTTGCATTAACTTCAAGTAGAAATTGCACAAAAACAACTCGTTAAAAAATAAAGTACATGACCTTTTAAAAGATCTGATATTTTACAACAAATTTTATTTAAGACAAAATTCTGCATCACCAAATTTGTTTTGTAATATTACCTTACTGCGATATCGAAAATACAGAGTTCGCCGGAATTGGGATTACCGCCAATTTTTACTTTCCCGCGTTCTCGCGTTCTACTTACATAGTATAGATAAAGGATTGTAAGTCTGAAAAAAGGCGTTTCGACAGATAATCTCTTATCGCTAGGCCCAGGTAACAAAAAAGGAGATAAATCTTGTTTCTATGTAGTTAATAAATTACTTTCTCTAACATGTTTTGTAGTCAGGGTCCGGGAGTTGTGGGTATTTGATGCAGAAAAATCGATTGGCGGCTAAAACGTCTGTCCATCCGTTCGTCCGTCTGTCTATCTGAATGTCTGTCAGTCTGTAGTCAATGCAGCATCGAAACCGTTCAGACGATTTTCTCCTCAATTGACAATTTTGAATTGAGCGCACTCAAGGACGTAGAAGTTTGAAACGGATATTTCGATTGTGCGGGAACTTTACGTGAAGCCGCAACAACATTTAAAAAAATTCTAAATAATGAATCCAATTTTTTATTAATATTGGCCCTCAGATAGCGTGAAGAACACTTAAAGAAATGGCGCAAGTCTCCTTTTCGTTGAAATCCCCGATTTTTCGAAAATTGCAACAGTTCAAATTTATGGAGTCATTTTCAATTTTTGGAAAATATGAGTGGTTTTGTGTATTTATGTATGAAACAGAGATAGTGTTTAAAATTTGTTAATTTTTTCTCTAAAATTGCTCCAATTTTTTTCTCTTTTATGTTTCGTCGTATGAAGAAAAGAAAGTGGTACAGGTTGCGTATTTGTTAAACTCTCTAGATTTTCAAAAATTGCAAAAGTTTTTTTTTCAGTGTTTACCTACTATAACTACAATATTGAAGATAATAAGTGATTTTCTTAATTAAATCTGTTCATCAAAAGCAGATCTCGAAATAAGGTCTTATTATTTTTTTATACTAGTATTACTGAAACAATCTGAATTTTGAAACAATAAACAATTATTTTCGGCTCCAAATGATTTCTATAAATTTTTCCTCGTAAGCACCAACGAACGGCAAAGAAATTGCCGTAGATCCCATTTTATGCGATCTCTGTGTATTTTCGAAATATGCAAGCAGCATAAAATGCAAATTTATTCTTAGTTTTTTGTTACATGAAATCTGTTCTCAAATATCAGTCCTCAAAAAAAGATTTTGTAGATATACGCGGGAAAAAAGAGAGAGATCCGCGGGAGGTGACGGCGAGGTGTGGCTGTTGCAGTTCACGGGCGCGGCCTTCTTCAAGGCGCCTGCGCGCTACATGGCGCAACTGAACGCCGACCGCGGCGCCGACGCGTGGCTGTACACCTTCGACTACGTGGCGGAGCAGGAGCGCGCGCTGGCCCGCGCCG